GTGATATGTTCTTACAAAAATTTACATTTAATCACCCACATTACAAAGCTATTGGATCCAAATACACTAAAATGTTACTTTATGGAAGACGAAGCAAATATCCATTTCATCTGAATTTATATCGTAATGAATTGTATTTTCATACTGATTTAAATATCATCTCTAAAATTATCGTATAAGTGTACAAATAGATGAAATGAGACGTGAGTATTCAGTTATTTAATTTCGTTATATAGTTTGAGTATATTTGAGAATATCAAATTATGCTTAATAATTTAAATAGTAAATTTCACACATTCATTCTCTAACCATTGTTTGAATTCAATAACTGGTTTCCTAAGTGCACACAAACAACAGGGGTTCCAAATCAATGAAAGATACTGTTGCAAATAAAATATCCCTATTCAAGTTTGGTCAATAAAATAAGGATAGGTTTGTAAATATTCAAGCTCAGATTGTAGATGTTCCTATTAGACGTTTTCTCCGGTGTAATTAGACAAACGCAAAAATCAGCTGTATCATTTTAAGCTAACATCACTGATTTTTCAATGATAACAATAATTTATAATTCTCATGCAATTTGGGTTTATATTTACTGAGTCCAGATAGCCACTGGTTTGTTCAGTGTGGTGGATTTTAATTCATACATATATTGTTTTCATGGAGCCTCTCATTGATGTTTAGGACTGCAATTGATAAGTCACTTTTGGTATATGTACATTCTGTAAGGATTGCCTCGATATCGCCATCAAGTCACAAGCATTATAAGCATGTCCTAAATTCAAATGCTAGTCACCACCCATCTCTGCTAATAATGCTTGTCGCTTACTAACAATATTGAGGTAATACGAATAGGATGCACATATTCCAAAACAGACTTATAGACTACAGTCCTAAACATCAGTAGGACGATTCAAAAAACCACTACAAATGAATTAAGAATAATTCTTACCTAAAACACTTTGCTTTTATGCAATTGGTTCCCTTCATGAATTTAAATAAAGCAAGAACAAATATTGGTGCAGAATAGTATGAATTCATATTATTTCGAGGTTTCCCGTCAGCTGCTTACAAACCAAAAATGTGATGAAATTTTTACATTGAGATAGTGTGAAAACAATTGACATATATATATATATATATATATATATATATATATATGCTAGAACAGGTCAGAGGTCAAAAGGAATTAGCTCGGGTTGGAGCTCGACCACCAGTAGTTCCTGGGTTCGAATCCCGCGGGGTGCGGGAACGTGGATGCACACTGCTGAGGAGTCCCATACTAGGACGAAACGGCCGTCCAGTGCTTTCAGGTTTTCAACGGTGGTCTAGCTTCAACTGACTCATGATTTCAATCTGTGAAAATAATGGAATTGAATAATCATAAGATAGGTTACATAATAATAATTAAATAGAACTTGAAAAGCTAAGATAATTTCAGAGGATCAGGTGGTGGAAATGTGTGAATAATAATGTGGTTTAAGAATTATATAATAGAGGAGTAGTATAAATATTACTATTTCTTTTACTACACTCGACATCAAACTATCGGAAACACTAATTTTTCATATATTTACACAATATATTCAGCTAAATAACTCTAATAAATTAATGATAAGGAAATCGATTATCACATAGTTGATCTTATTGCTCACACAATAAATATCAGTTAAGGTCTATGAATACAAGTTCAAAATAAATTGTTAGTCTCCAATAAGAAAATGAATTATGTTTTGTTTGGCTTACGGTTTTTATTGTTGTGTCCTTAAACTTCATATATATACCAACAAATGTTAATTTCATTTAGTATTCTTATTATGATTTTAGAATCTTGTTTAAAACACAAAGAGATTGGTTTATGTATATCATATATTGATTGATATCAGATAGTTTTATATGCTGTTGAAATATTTTGTGAAAGTCATCAACAACAAAGACTTAATGATTGTACTTTAATTCTTAATATGTTTTCAGATTGGAAAACAGTGTTTGGAGTTGATAGATATTCTTAAATAAACTTATAATTTGTATGTCCAACGATTAATGAGTGGTTTCTATGAATCGAGAATGGACAAGTATTGACAAAGTCATTAAAAACTATGCATTGGTATCTTTCTTATATATATGATATAGGAATGACTTTGAACCACTTATTACTTCATGAATCTCTAGCATTTTGTGACAGTGTTGTTTTTATAATAAAAGCAGTGTCTGCCTGGCAAAACCTAAATCACTTTTTCATTCATGGTTTAGCATTGTGTTTGAACGACAGTTAGGCTTCGAAAATCATATTTATATAATTCAGTGTTAATGATGACTTCGTAAATAACCATCACAATGTCAGGTATTCACAATTACCAAATTTACTTCAGCAGCATTATGTCATCTTTCAATCTAATAAATACGTTCTTTTTATTTCATTAAGTTTGTTAGTAGGTGAATGAGAAATCACCAAGCATAGTGAATACAAATAATTCTACCTCAGTTTTGATTCTTAGTCTACTCAAATCTAACTGGTGCATCAATAAAACGTAAGCCATCTCAATACATAAAATGTAACACTATACATCATAAGGTTGTGTGAATGACTCCGAAACATTGAAATTGTTTTTAACAAACTTTTCATAAATTTCCAATCATGATCTGATCTTAGCTAGAGCGTCATTGGAAATTTGGAAGGAATTGACGGCCGTTTTATCTTAGTGGTGGATATTCACGATCCCACGTCCAGGAATCGAGCCTAAGACTTCAATATCGCGTGCGTGAGCCTAATCTCTAAACCACTGAGCCGAGATCTAACGGTGTTTAACGAATGAACAACCACTTTGATTGCCCTTAGTTTGCTCTAAAACCTCAATACATCCAGTAAGGAATTGTAGGGACTATTCATTTGGAAAGTCGTTTATAGAACCAATAGGATTGTAGTGGTATTGATCCTAACTACAACCCTCAAAGCTGAACATGAACATGGGAAAATTCATATTCTGCAATTAAGACGAAGAGGTGACCCGTGGAGGCGGGCAGAATTCCCTGAAATCAGTTGGATGTCATGGCTCAGCCTCGCAGACGTGGTCACTGCATAACATGTCTTTACTCACGTTAAATATATTATTCTATCTTTAACCTGAATGTGTTTTTTACGAACGCTCACAGTTATATCGCGGCTTGTTACTATACGAGTCAGAATAGACAATGATGTGAATTCCAAGTAAGGTCTCATAGAATAGGCAGTCATATCATGACATACCTACAGTTTTAGGACTAGGTCTATTATTACAATAGTACTAATAACGATGTAGACCATAATTCTATAGATTAACTGTGAAACCTATTGGAAACCAGCAAGCATTAAGCAGCTGTTTCATACAAGTATGAGAGTTCTCACAATAACAAGGACCACACATAAGACTTCAAGTGACGCTGTGATCGTATTATATTAAGATTACTAAAATTATGACCAATAATCCAGATTATCAGTTACAATCAATTCGAGATACTGTTCCACTATCGTTTAAGGAGCAAAAACAAATTCATGACTGACTAACTAAACGAATAGAACTCAAAGTCATATAAAGATCCGACAGCTTTCAACATATAATATCGTCTGTTTACATATCTCGTGTTAGAAAAAACAAATATTTACAATCTCATTTTATTTTCGAAATAATTTACAAAGTTATTTATTAACATTTGATGATACCTTGAATAACTAAAGGAAAAAGAAGCATATTACACCATTCTACTTATAAGTTGACATCTGAAAAACTATAAGAGGTTGAAGAATACACCTTAGTGATAAAAATTGAAAATCGATTATGTTTAGCATCAATATATATATATATATATTATCCACACAATATAACACTTGACTACATGTGGACACATATACAGCTAAATAACGTACAAACGCACCGAAGTTATAATTTAGTATCTCAGTTTAAGTTACGTTTGAATAATTATTACCCTAGACGTTTCGATTTGCTTAATTTGAGTATCTAAATGACATTTACTTGATAGTAGAACTCAATGGATCGCTTTTTTTTTTCAAATAACTAAATTTCATGTTATGAATTTAATGACTATCTGAGATTGATCTTTTAGTATAGGGGGTTGTGGAGATCATTGAATTTTGTGGTTTTAGATTACGAACTGAATATAGTTAAACCATCATTGTAAACTATAGAGCATTCGATAATTATTTTATTCTAGTATAGGATTTAACAGAAGTACGCATCCATAACCTCACGATAGATAAAACCCAGAGATGTGGCATACATTTCGAACTTCAGTTAATTCGTGAAGTTGAGAAATAATTATGTACTACCATTGGTGACATTTGTCTCCCACCCGACATTAACAAATTTTCTTAGGCAGATAGAAAAAATATTTTTCCGATACACAAGAGAATAAGATCGTGAAGAAGTTGGAAATAATTAAGTTAGGTAGTTGGTGCGAAAGTTCTTAATTTAAATATAGTTTTTGTCATACATAACAGCAACTTAATAATCAGTGAGAAAATCCACAACGAAAAGCACTAGTTACATAAGCAGTTTTGAAGTAAAAAAAACAATGAAATGTCAATAAATCATTATTTGTAGAAGAGTATATCATCCGAAAAGCAAACTACTGGTACCCATCATAGGGCAGCAAACAAATTAATATGGTCATTGTGATTCAATCATAGATGTCTTCGAGGCGAAGTCGAAAGCACCGAAAATAAATTTCAAGGTTAGCGTCGAGTTACAGATGAAGATATGTCAGACAAGGTCGCGAAATTACTTCTATTCAGCAAACCAATATACCTACGTATCACGCAAGTTGGATTAACCGTATGTAGGAAAACACAAAAGAGAATCAATCTATGACATTAGACTATCATTCTGGATCATATGATGGAATACAAACTTCGAAACAGGAACCCACATATTTTATGGTAATAAATATTTCGATCCAAAGTCGAACACATTACCAATCAATACTAGATCTTGTGTCATTAATAATTATAATATACTCTCTTATAAATCATTTACAAAACGCTGACATATTGAAGCTCCATTGATAAATATATTATGAAGGTAATTACTTGATGCTCTAACGAATTTCCAATCGTATCTTATACAACTAACGTTCGTGACGTTCAGGTTAGACAACGAAGCCAAAATGAGATAGCCAGAGCTTCGTACAAACGAAAACTTTTTTCACATGTAAAGAAATTAACATAAATTCCCAGTATTAATAAATTTATAACTCATCCAACATCATACAGATCGTGAAATTCTTGACTTCATAAATTTGTTATAACCAACGTAGGACTTGTCATAAATATGTATTAGCCGAAGTTACCACATCACATTAGCACGACGAGATGAAAATGACAAGGTGAAATAATACAATTACAGACAACAAATGAGAATATTATGTATTTAGTGAAATAAACACACAGGGAGGAAAGATTTATCTATGAGATGAATAATTCAATACCTAATTAAGGCTAGGTATGAAGGTGAACAAACCACTACTGGAGAAAAACATCAAAGATTTCAGTATTTATAATAATGAATATACCTATGACTAAACGTCATATTATTCTCACTAATCATCCATCTAATGATATTCACCTTCTCTGAGAATGTAAAAAAACAGCTATAATAACGAAAACTGGTTAGATATTTTACAGTTTCTACCAGATTCTAGTTAAAAAATCTCAGTTAAGTTGTTCAATTTATAAGCATTATTTACAATGAAACAATCCCGACAAATGTATAATTATCTGACTTATATAACAGTAAAAAGGCTTCAATATAGATAGAACGGGGAAAAACCCATTACTAAAAATTTTTGCATTGTATAAAAACCAATTCACCGATAATGCGTATAGATAATAATACATTAAATACTTTGTACATAATTTATAATATGATACAATTGATTGTTCAATACTATTCAGAACGTTTAAGTTTTGGACATGAACCATATGGTCGAATAGATAAACTATATACATGTTGTGCATTTGTCGAAAATATTTTCTCTTTATCTTCAACTGATCCATAACCAGCATCACCCATAGCATGTTCCACCAATCTAGCAGTTTCCCATAGATTAAGAACTTTCAATGGAACTGATCGTCTTGCACGTTTAGCGGCTATTTCACCAGGTATATCAAATGTTTGTAAATCACTAGCTGTGGCTTGTTCAGGCCAACCTGTTTGATTTGGTTGGAATAATCGACATATTGGCCAACCGGAACCAAATAAACAACGGTCTGGTCCAAAACAACTGATTGCATGAGATAAAGCTGAACTGGCACACCACTGATCGATACTGTAAACATCGGATGTATCGTTAGATGATTCTGAAGACTTTTGTATACAACCAGTAGCACCAGTCACTTTGCAATAAACATTTGGATATCGACTGAGTAGTTCCAAGTCTGAGCGCCAGTTTTTCCAAGCTAAATTGTCTTGTATGAGTAGGAAGACAACCGAATGGATACAAATAAAGCATTAGGGATTAGCGAAATATACAAATGTGACAATTATTATATTACGGCAAAATGCAAATAGAAGAAAAAAGGTCAACCAACGTTCTATTATCTTAAAAAACCAAAGATAACTGTTCAGAACACCAATATTTAATAAATTCGAATTATTAAAGCTGATAGAGAATGAGTACGTCAAGACGAGTGGATCTAATTTTGAGCAATATCAACGTATTTCTGTAACCACAGACGACTATCAACTATCAAACTGGGACCATTGAGATTAAACTTCACGGCACGCCTGTCTAAAAGTGAATGGTTTAAAGATTGAGTGAATATACTGGCTTGACAGCTGCTCTTTTTTCTCCTACCTACTCCCATAATAGTCATCAAAGTATTTCAGAGTAATTGGTGATTGGGCAAACTACTGCAGTATTTATGCTCTCTGAAAGACACTTGAGTTGGTACATTCGGGGAGCTTTTGCATCCGTACCAGTGTTTCATTAACTATTGAGCAAAAACTCTTAGGGTACTTGAAATGATCAACACATAAGATTGTTCTATTCCTCATGATATAATCATTGATTTACGCAGAACACTGTTGGGAAAACACTTAGAAGAGAAACTCATTCCAAACATTATTAGGCTGTCACACAAATAGTTCAGAAGAATTTATATTTTGTATCTGTATCCGACTAACAGAATTATGTTATCTGAATACTTCAAGTCAATCAGCTTATCAGTAGAAGATAAAGCCGTAGAAATCTACAACAAAACTATTTAATCGAGAACAGGGAAATTAGCTTGAGGTTGGTTGAATTATCTTTCAGTGCTCAGGACATCATTTCAGTAACCTAGTTTGATAGTAGACCAGTGTTTTTTATGTCGTAGTAAGCATTGCGAAGAACTTTGTCAATTCATAATTGACAGCAAAGATGAGTTACCGAAACTTAACCAGCTCAGTCAAGGCTATAGATATCCACGGACCGTTCAAAACCTATCGGTTTCTAATTTTACAATTGTTTGGATGTTATGTGAAAAGTAAGTGTATCGCCGATTCTTCTTGACACAACCTAGTAAAAGAAGTAAGCAAAAGCTTACATCAGAGCATTCCTGGGGTCTAGAGATAATACTGAAAGTTCCAAATGCCTTCTATCGAACCTGGTTGAAAATTTATTTATTTGAACACATAAATAATGGCACAAAGGGGCACCGAATACATATGCGCCACACAAGTCACTTGAGTTGTGTGTGGGTTGTGATACTGCCCGGCTACCCGGACCAAAGCAAGTGGTTTTCTTAGGGCGCCACAACCAGAGCCCTCGACCTAATGGTCTGACCCACAAGGAAGTGGAGCGACGTAAAGTCGCCGGTGACCAACAACAGCTTCATACGCCATTTGTTTCCTCAGGATCCTGGAGCCCATGTGTACCAGTGGTTTAGAATCATGGTTTCCCAACTCCCCTAAGTGAACCCACCGTGTCCACCAACCCGGTTAAAGCGCCGGACATCCGCTTTCCGTCCTCTCAACTTTGTGAACAACACCCTCACTGAGAGAAGACAGTGAGCAGGACTTCCCTGGCAGTGGTTGTATGTGCGTGGCCATGTGAGAGTATTTCGAGAGGGAGGGCGGACTTTCCACACCCTCGGTCGTACCAGGGCATTTGGGGGTCAAATAGGAACAATAACGGGGCAGATTTTCATGCATATAGCATACAATTCTCTTTGAGCCTAGCACACAGTAGTACTGTCATGCATTATCCCATCGCCCTTGGAAGATCAAGCAACCCGAAAGTCACGAGAACATCATCAGGGTATACGACAGGTTAGGTACTCCTAGTTGAAGATGGGCATTTGTAAACAATTTTCAGTTTACCTGATCAATTAGTTGGAGCTTTAGTTATTGGAAGTGTAGGCGGAGACTACAAAGAGACAATAGAATGTACATCTCTCTATTTTGTGTTCTTACAACATCATTTAACCAAGCAGCGCAAAGATGACAATCGACTAAAATCGAGTCTGAAAACTCCCGTTCTACTTTTGGACTTGATGCTACACATACACCTAAAAGATCGTGAGAATTCACATAAACCGATACAATTGAACTGAAGTTCGAACCCAAAACAACTTTTATCTATTTAACCAATAAGTCAAACTTCAAAACCGAATGCAAATATTAAAAAACACGAACTTATTGAAACGAATTAAGACATGGAACGCACATAACTATCATAAAGCGACTAAGTTTATACGTAGATACTTGGTATTTACTAAACAGTTAAGTTACGGTAACACAGTGCCAACTGTAAGCTTCATTTAGACTTACTGAATGAGCGGTCATTTACTGTTTATAAATTGTAAGTCAATTAACTAAAAATATATTAATCGATTTCAAATACAAAATATCATAGAAATGTAAGTAATGAGATGTATATAAATTTGGCACTCTATGATTTTTCATCTATATAATTACGAGTTATAATTCTGAATTATATAAATCACTTGCGACTACTCATCTAACCTTCTGTTATACTTATTGAAGGTTTTCTTAAACCTTTCTTAAGTGTCAACCTGTATGGTTAACCAATTATCACGAGAACCAATACAATAACGAAATTGGTGGATTACTTCTTAATGAGGTGGGCAACAGGATAACGTGATTGATAATTATTTAACGGTAATATATGCTATATGTAACTAAATTTACATTCAACAAACTGATTTTATTAGTAAATACATCGTTAGTGAAAACTTTTAATTTGACTTATTTAATCCAGCATTTTAAATATAAAAAGACACATGTTATGATAGCACCCATAACATATCATAATAACTAATACGTAGTCACACTAGTATAAATCAATGTTGAACAAAACAGAAAATCTAGATTAACATCTTTTCCTTAAAAATTCATTTGTTCGTACAAAGAAAGTATAACTTTCAATTACATTCACAAAATATCTGTGTTGAAAAGCTTAGCATATAATATTTTTAGAATGCTTTAATATTTAACACAATGTAAGTTTTACAATTCATTCATTTACACAACTCACCTGATCTGCTTGCAGTAAACTCTACAGGTAAACCACAATGATTAAGTACTAATTTTAACTTAGGATGACGATAAGCTAAATGACATGCATGTCTTAATTGATGTGGTCCAATAGCTAAATCGAATACAAGTTGTTGATGTTCAATTACTGAGAAATTACTATCGATCTAAAACCAAAAAAAAAACGACAGAAATTTTAATCGTTTTATTACTTATTGAAAAAAAAACCAATGTAATAAACCATATGTGCGGGAACTATAGAACTACAATGTGATTGGTTTAAGGTAGCTCATGGTTAGCAAGTGTGTATGTATTGAGAGTTGTAATTTTGTCAAATTTAAATGGATATATGATTGAATGCTATAGATTACATTGTTTCTTTTAAAAAAAAACATTTATTCACCACTATCTGATGATGAATTGAATTGATGACTAATTTATTCTGTTTTCTAAACAAACTTCATGCAACTTATTCAGTTAGAGAGTACAAATACATATCCTTAGGTTTAAGCTACATTTTATTTCATATGAGAGAACTTATGATGTTTACTGCTCAGGTTGCCAGAACTGATGTAGGTGGGGCTGGACTTGAACCTGTGAACTGACATTTGTATGAATTGAAATTCATACCATGTAATTTCTGTCTTTGGACAGAGAGATAGAGTCAGTAACTGACCCCAAACATCCACGAACCCACATAAGATTAAATTCATGAAATTTTACGGATGATCTACATTAGTAATAATGTAGCAAATCGGGGTTGCTAAAAGGACAACTAATATATAGCATTTTACACCTTATTGTTACGGTGACTCGTTGGTGTTGCAGATCAGAAATATTATTGTAACCATTCACATAATGATTAAGAATTGTTTTAGTAATGTAGCAACGCTGTGTTACTCGTACCTATTTTAACGGGTATTTTTTATCTTGTAACATACTACACAGACTGTAATGTCTACTCATATAATTGTCACTTTTCAAGACATCACAGCTCTAGTGCAAATTCCTTTCTCTCTGTGTGTGTGTGTGTCTGTCTTCTCATTCACGTGTGGTTGTCATCATTGAAATGTTGTTGAGTATAAGCCGTTCGATCTACTCAGTCACGTCAGGCCCCATTTCGTATCAAAAGAATTCCCGATTCGCCTGTATTATGAATCTAATCAACCAACAATTATACAGAACATAACACCAAGTGAGCATAGTACCTTTGAATCGAATAAACCATCTATAAACCACCGATCTAAATAATAGGTATTTCAACTCTTTGAAACTGTTTTAATTGAGAAACGTTCCACCGAAGCTAAGATAATTATTTCAGCCGAAAGAAGACAAGAAACAAATTGGACTACAAACTAACTGGTCATTGAATTATATGTTTATGAAAGCAAAGTTATGAAGATCAGGAACAATGAACGCTTGTAAACATCATTGTGTTTATATTAGTATTGGACAAATTCATGAACAGTTTAAATTGTTTGATACTTACTTCGACTGATTACTGGTACAATAATGAAAAGAGGATGTTATTCTGTCCATTAAAATATAAACTTCTTTTAGCAAATAAAAATAAAATTGATACCATTGTTTGGAATGGTACTCAATAGTCTGATTAGTAAAACAACTATTAATGTCAAAACTAACTGATTTGAAGTAACAACCACTGGACAATGTACTTATTGAGTAAAAACGACTTTAAAAAAGTACTGATTACAACATGTCAATATATACATATACAATAGTTTATTTACTGTTCTCAAAAGTATTATAACAAGACACAGCCAATAAAGCAGTGCAGTGTTCCGCCGGTCAAAATTATCTTTACTACGAGCACAAAATATTAGAATTTCTAAATACCATAAAAAATTTTTACAAATAAGCTGTAAGTATCCAGTTGTAATTATGCAGAAAACCCCTTACTAGGTACTGAAATAAAAACATCGTTATACATATTTATCATGTACAGTGAGGAAATGGAGACGGTGACTTAACATCAATACCCCTGACAGAAATGAAGATCTACGTAATAATACCGAAAGAATTATAGTCATCCGATCAACTGATAATCAATATCCAACATACAAAGTAAACAATTTCAGAAATTTCAAACCATTCATTTAAAGTTTAGATATCCATGCGTTTAGGAGAGCGACATTCAACTAGTGAAATTTGTGTATAATAACTATATTACTTACGAGTAACTAATTTTGATTCCCTTCCTTGTATTTCATTGGATAACAGTAGACTAACTGTCTTCTTATTGGTCGATACACCGTCTGACCACAATGAACCGATCATTTCGGTGATTGTATGAGTTGACACTTAAATGTTGTTATTGTTGAGTACATTATATCGAATTTGAGTTTAATACAAAATAAGCATTATTTTTAGAATAGTGGGATTTGTAGCGACTTCAGAATTTTTATAGTTAAATCACAAACTGATCTTAACTAGGTTACCATTCAAAACATAGAAGTACTGAACGTCCATTTTGTTCTAGTATAGGACCCCCCAGAAGTACGAATCCACGACACTGCACCCAGTAACCGAACCCAGGAACTTCGGTCTCGCGCGCAACCGTTTAGCCTCTAGACCACTGAGCGCGCATCCAACATTGTTAGCGTTTAACTTCAATCTATGATATTGCGTAACCCTGATCCACTACCTGCTGTGGATGAAAATTCTACAATCTCCACAAATTCGCCTATTCTGATGATAATAATAATAAAGTGAATGGCTACAAGATGAAGTTCCGGGAGACTTAGTGGGAAGCCGTGATCAGTGGAGCATAATAATGTCGAGTATGAGATGGTGGAGATTTGTGGCTCAGACGGATGATTTTGGTGGAGTCAAACAACACTATCATTTTCAGATGTATTAATCACCAGAACCGACACAGGGGAACTGGAAACTCAAGTATATCAGAAGTCGACCTACATAGATAAAATTCTCAATTGCAGTAGCAACAACCCAAGAACTCACAAAATCAACTGAGTACAAACTTTATTCAAGAGGGCGAGGATACACTGCAACACACTTGTAGCACGAAAAAATGAAGAAAAATATCTAAAGACTATCTTTCAAAGGAACGGCTACCCAATCAGCCTCATCAAAAAATATCAACCTAACGGATCAGCAGAAACAAAATCAAGTACAGAAACCAACAAATGGATCATCCTACCATATATAAAAAGCATACCAGAAATTACAACAAGATTGTTGAAGCCCTTTGTAATAAGTGTAGCACACAAACCAACAAAATCACTCCAATAAATTTTATGCAAACTAAAGGACGAGATGATAAAAGAAGAAAAACCGAATATCATCTACAAAATAAATTGTTCCAACTGCGAAAAAAACTAGATTAGACAAGACGGACGCCTTCTTAACCTTGACTGTATGACATCAATCAGCGGTCAAACACCATGACATATCCTCACTAATATAAATGCATGTGGATAACTGTGGACACATCCTACTGGGAAAACGTTGAGATCTTGGATAGAGGCAATTCTAAAAAACCAGAGGATTTTTAGAAGCTTGGCACTCAGGTCAATCAGCAATCAGCAAATACATTGAAATTGATTCAATCTATCAACCAATCAGAAAATTCATGGATAGATATAGGACCAAGAATCGAATCAATGGGAGATACAGTCAAAATAAGACAAACAATGACAGGTTAAAGGTCAACAACAACCAATCAAAATCGAGGTCTACAGGACAAGCTGTGAGTCATATGTGGAGAAATTCGAATACTTCACCTCTACTTGAAGTTTGTGTTGATGATGACCTCCAGAAGGATGATAAGAGCCTCACAACCAAATTATCCAGCTCGGAGAACAAAACTCCACCAAGAAAATGTCAGGTGTGAGACAGTTGTCCACCTAAGTTCGTGATGGAAACTATGATAATTAGTAGTTGTAGAAGCAATTAGTATTATGTATTTTGATACATAAATATACCTAGCTTGTCTTACCATATTATTCTACATCAGCTGCGTTATTGCAATAAATCTAACAACTACTTGTAAATGAAATACAGTGTGACATAATACTTATTTATCAACTGAAATTTAAAAATACGCTTACCACTGACTCCAACAGATAATCACCATCCATTTCACTAACATCATAACGTAAACCAACAAGTAACGGATCGTGACTCATTTGTTGAACATGACTGGAAAGACTTGGATCGGACAGATCACACCAACCAATATAACCTGCTATACAATAATAATCTTCAGCCAAAGAAGAAATCATCAGACTTTCGGAATACGTTGAAGCAACCTGCAAGAGAGCAAAAAAGAAAAACAAATACATGCAGCAGTGGAACGACAGTCATTAAACTCGAAACTTTCGTAATTCTATTTACTACAAGACAGGAAATAGGTTTGAAATGATAAAGTACCCAAAAACTGACAGTATTGACTTAAAAGAGGAAAGGTCGGTTAGTCGTAATCAGAGCTAGGTCTAAGATAGGTACTGTGGATACCTTGGTTAGGATGTCATGTAAGACAAAAAACATGTTCAACTTAATTAGGTTGCTATGATAAGCAACCACGTCAAGATGGAATCGCTGTTCGAATTCGGGTTTAAAATATTTATATGAAAAAACACTAGAGGAAAAATAAGCATAGAGCTACTAGAACCATACCATCAGTTTCTCATGATGATATCTTATCAGTAAAAAATAATAAACAATGGAATCCAGAAATTAATAATAACTATAATGTTACCTGAACGTGAATTGCATATCGCACAGGAGCCAGTTCACCGATTTCATATTTGATTTCATTTTCAGCTCGAGCACGCATATAATCAATTTCTTCTTCGTAATCATCTGCTGTATAGTCTCGTCGTAATACTTTTGCCCAACTAGCTGTTGGAGGTGGAGGTAGCTTTCCACCCAGATAAAGCTGACTAGCACTTATAGATTCTGACAGAGACCATATGGAGAAATGTGAATCGATATAGGGTGGTGTTAAGGGAGTCCAAGCTGCAGTTCCAGCTTGAACAGCTTCTTTTTCATCAAGCCGTTCAAATTCTATCCATTCATTTTCTTCAGCAGCTACCTCAGCCAATAGATCAGGCTTGTCAGTCCGAGGATAAAGTTGTTCATATTCAGCTTGTGTTAAGGGTCCAATAAACCCTGTATCAGGTTTATTTATTGCCTAGAAATTAACGAGTTCATAGATATTACGTATGTAGCCCATTTACAACTAAAATTATAGAGTGAATATAATCGTGTTTATAATTTATTTCAACAAGTGTCGTTATTTTTACTTAACTATAGTTTGAAGTTACGCTTCGAAAACAAAAGCCTGTTTTTTAAAATGCTCACTTATCAGAAAAAATGTAGACCTCTCAACACTATAACCCTAAATAAAAACCAGTTTTACCTTTCACTCATAAAATAAACAAAACCCTACTTCTATTTACAGAAACTACTAAATCAAAAGTATAAACTCATATTTCAATTTGTTAATAATGTTGGACAATAATAAGTCAAAAATGAGTGATAACAATGTAGTTGTTGTATATATATATAGTGTATTGTGAATGATTATCGTTAACAGAGATTGCTTAATTCAATGCATGATGTGTGACAATGTTAAATTGGGATACTCCACTCTTTCGAGACATTATCATGTTTTTTTTTCAGAAAAATATTAAATAAAAATAACTTTCTTTTTAAAAAAGGTTTTATCCGAGTCACAGCATTTGTCCGGAGCTAACTAATCTGGTTTATTTTAATAAAGATGTAACTCGCATATTACATTTATAAGGTAGAGCTACATGGAACATCATTAGATTCGTTATCGCTTTAGAAGCGTTTTATTTCATATATGGAACTACTATTATACAAGAGTCTCTGACTACTTCCTAACTTCTTATCATTAATTTCTACTGACATTTTGTTGATTTCATGTAATTACGTTAAAATTTAAGCCAGAATCAGATAAAACTAGATGTCTGTTTTAATCCAGTTTGAAACTTCCCAGGGTGTAAGCTTTTTCAGAGGATAAAAATTTCAATGATTAAATATAACTGAAATGATTGTGGATCATATTACAAAATAATGTAAAATAAAAGTATATATATATATATATATAACACTCGAAATAGTTAAAAAAAAATAGCTGAACCAAAAAAACGCGAAATATACGTCAACTATATTTATTTACAATATACGTGGACATGTCCGTAGTTTATATATAATCAATTAGCTGTACAATTCACAATGTTTTTCTAAAATGGAAAAATTTAGAAAAGTAGTTTTTCATTTAGAAAATAAAACTCAAACATATTAAACAGTTGTATATATATATATATATATATATAGAGAGAGAGAGAGAGAGAGAGAAAAGAAGGAGAGTAGTATTATTTAATTATTACTTTAACTCGAGCTCTCTCTTTGTCATTCGTGTATTTATTTGTACTATTCTTAACTATTATTATTAACATTAACATGAACGTGTGATGGTGGCAGTAGTAGTATGTATATGAATTGAAACGTTGCAATAAGAAAAAACAAACGATACTCCTTTAAGTTTAAACAAATAGAAAGAAAATCTATCATTGAAATTTTAACATATAAATTAATTGAGCTTAGCACAATACGCATCAGCATAAATATTGTCAGTAAATCAGTCTAAATAGTCAAAATTAAATAAATGGGAGAGAACAAGAGAAAGCAATATTTCGAAGAATAAAAAAATAACTTCGAAAATTTAGAAAAACCAAAATAAATAAATAAAAGGATTATAATGTGTCGTATGATAACTATTCATCTCATTAGATAGACAAAAAGATAGTTGTTGTTACGCCACGTGATGTACATTATGGAAGAGGAGGGGTGATGAATAAAAATGAGAGAGAAATTCATTGTATACAGAACAGTTGTAGTGATAATAATAATAACAACAATAATAGTCAATGAGATACCATGACACAGGCATAAATAAAAAAGTGAGAGATAGAGAGAGTGGAAGTAATAGAAGACAGTGGTGAAAGTACATATGTAGAAGCAAACCTTAAAAGAATACTTCATAATTATATACTGCTATGTAAAGGTAGATTAACAAGATTTTCAGGTGTATCACTACGATAACATTTTATTTTCTCATATTTTCCAGTTGAATAATCCATAGTTAGAAATGTGTCCACAGCTAAATCCATTAGTTGACCAGTATTTTGATTAAGAACACGTTCTCTATGTTCACTAAGACGAATACGAGTTATTTGACCAGTCTCTGGACGTGGATTATCTGTAAATGTATTTATTTGTAATAAACAGATTATAACAAAATTTATTATAACAGGAAATAAAAAATTAGAAAAAAGTAATAATATTCAACGGTTATTTTCGGAAAGAAACCGATCATGACTACAAATAATTAAAAATCTCGACAGGAAAGTCATTTTTTAGAAGATTAACTGTTAGGTTTGTGGAATAGTGGGAGTTTATTGATAAAAACAATAGGTTTTTAATCACTAGATTATGAATTTGAATCTTTTTCTACTTACACCGGTTTTTAAAGCTAGGTAATAAAATTAGCTTTAATAAAAACGGTGTGGCTTACAGTCAAGTAAATAAACATGTATTGGATGATTTATATTAAGCAGAGGTGAATGTTGGCCAACAGTGGAATCCAGAACGTGCGTTTCATCCTTTTCGAGACTCGTCGGAAATGAGCACCCACGACCCCACACACCTGCTTAAAATGCTTGTGATTTAACGGCACTATCGAGGCAATTCACACAGGATGTACATATGCCAATAAGAGATTGATCAATTGCGGTTATAGACATCAATTGTGGGTTCCAAATATATATATATATATATATATATATATATATATATGGGTTATATCCAATCAAAAGATGAACACTTTTTATTTTAATATATACTCAAAAATATAAGGGATTGATACAACATATGGATTAGTATAACGGTCTGTGGAGATTGCAGTATTTTCATGGTTGAAATGACGGATTGACCTTAGTAAGACCACCATTGAACGAGCGTTTAGCTCAGTAAGGGACTCCTTATCAGTGTGCATCCCAGATCCCGCAAGCGGGAACCGAGCCCAGGACCTTTGATCTCGCGCGCGTGAAAATACTGCAATCTCTACAGATCCTCCATACTAATAACAATCATGTACTCACTAGTGACTGGCTTTAAGATGTAGCTCCTAGAGTTCTCGTGAAAAACCATGACCAGTAGGGTTCAGTCAGTGACCCACCACAGGGTTGTGTAATATCATGGATTAATGGAAGTTAAACCTGGACATTACTGGAACCCGAGTCAATTTTTAAGAGATTAGGCGTTCGGGCACGAGAGAGAAAGTTCTGGGCTCGGTTCCCAAGTGCAGGATCTGGGATGCGCACTGTTAGAGAGTCCCATACCAAAGCGAAACGCTCGTCCGGTGTTTCTATGTTCTCAATGGTAGCCTAACTAAGATTAGTTCGTGAGTTTAACTGTGAAAATTCATAAATTTTCGTGATAACTTTTATTCAAAATGAAAAATAGAATAGACTATATCGATTATTCTGTTAAGTATATACCTACTGGCTAAGATGCTGTTATCATGTATATGCAACAAACTAGATAATTTAACACTAACAATTTTACCCATATTTTAGATAAACAGTAATTAAGCTATTTTAGATGATTTGGAGGGTTTATTAAAAATTGATTTGATTCATTCATTGTATTCAGTCAGTGCTACCTACTTTTCAGTCATACTCCAAATGAGATCAATTTATGGCGAATACAAAAATCTAAAAGGTAAAAACCAAGAAGTAATTTGTCTACATCACTGTTAACGAATTTATACCATGGGACCACTTTGTTTACTTACTAATTAAAAATATAAAAACCAGTAGAATTAAATCCAACATCTTTTTGACTGAAATATACATTATGAGTTGTATGACTGTAGAAAATCGCCTACATTAGGAGTATGATGTACACACACACACGAACACACCATAAAACAAGAGTAAACTGAATGTATACATACACTGATTGTAGAAAGTTAAATTAATGATAATGAATACACTTAAATTGAATACAATGTGTATTGTATTTTTAAAAGTTTTACCTCTTGAACCAGCGATGAATGATATGATCATTGCTTTTTCAGGTCGAGTAACGCGATTCGCATCTTGGAATAAACTTTGCACTGTACTTAATTGTGATTCGGTTAAACATAAATCATCTTGAATTTTCACAGATGACAAATTTGTAGACGCGTTAACAATATTGCCAGTAACCGTTGTTAATGAAGGTTGTGATGAATTTATAAGATTTGTTTCATTAGGAACCATAGTATTTGAAGTCTCCGCCAGGTGTATGTTGTAGTTTGGAAGACTTGTGGTAATAGATACGGGAGATATATCACAGGGATTTGGTATATTAATATTAGAGTTGCCAGTGTCATTATTAGTATATGCGTTTGATACAACAACCTGGTGACTAGTGGTATTTTGTATTACATTAGAAGAATCCACATGAATTTTATTTTGATTTGACGATTTTATTACAGTCAAATTGGGTGGTCTGGCTGCTTGAACGGTTGTCGCTGTAGGTCGCGGTAATATCTGAACATACGTTTGATTTACTGAAGACTAGATGAAAGAAACAGAAAATAAGGTGTAAATGATTTTTAATTTATCCTGAAACCACTTTGTAAATTAGTGACTCTAAAACAGCTTTTATACACTACTTTTGAAAAATGAACGACTAAGTAGATATTCAAAACTATACTGTATAAAAGATAATAAAACCGTGATAGTGAGGGTTATTTAATGGTTCTGTCGAAAAAGTCAGTTTCACGATAATTCTTTAAATTGCTATTTTAAAATTTGAAGTCTCGCTTCTTAAGGTCGCGATTTTAAGGGCTGAATGCCAAGTCTACGGATAACTGCCCCATTAACACTAGCCAATTTTGTGTTATTATCAGTACACTTCCCAGTACAAATGCAGAACGGTTGATTAGATATTTAAGCATAAATTAAGACACTCGGAAGAGATAATAAATACTTTTCTGAAACTAAATAAAGATTTACGAAAATCTTAACCAGTGGCATCTTCCATGACGCATGAAAATTCTGTTCCGATATATGACAACCTGATTTTCAACCAGTTACTGTAAACTTTAATCTAAGTTAAACAGATAAATAGTCAAAGGTACTTTGAGGTCGAAATAAAGCCAAATAGACAGCCATAAAAAAAACGTCTCAAGATTAGTTAGATTTACATAAACCGCTTTTGAAACAAACAACTAATGTATACAGTCTTATTGCATATTCTACAACAACCACAAAAACTGACAGAACAACAAATAGCATTTCCATATTGATAAATAAAATAGTAGTACAGTGAAACCTATTGAATAAATATATGTTCTAGTATAGTAAGCTACAAACAACTATACCTGAACTGTTGGTTTCGGTGCTATAACACTAAATCGTTGTACAAGCTGAGGTCGTTGAGATTGAACTTGTGGTGAAGTTAAGCGTGTTGGAGTCGATGCAAACACAACAGGTTTATTATCAATAACAACAGTGGAATTAGATGGTCTAATTAAATTGACTGATGTTTGATGTTGTATAGGATATGATGGTGATAAGTATATTTGATTACTTTCTGATGAATTGATGACTGGTTGAGAAGTAACTGTATTTTCACAGATATTATTTGTAGAATTTATTTGAATTACACGATTTGGACGAGGAGCAATACATACTAACGGATTACTTGAATTAAGTTTCGGACGTAAAATTGGGATGGAACTGTTGACAACCATACTAGGAACCTAAAAATTAGAAACAGCTTTATAATACAAGAAATTATCAAAAATAATATAAACAAAATACTTATTATGGTAATATAGGAAACTTTAAAAATTGAAGTATCAACATATTGAAAATAAATTATGTATTAAGTAAAATCACTATCTGAAAACCAAATTAATTACATATTTTTATTATTAAACAAACGATTGGATAGTAGTATAGCAAAAGTTACTAAAAAAGCAACTTGTAATAGCCAGCATATTAAAAAAAATTGTTTTATTTAGTAGCTGTTACTATTGCAAAACAAAGACACATAGTCAAACTTTTATCTTCCACCTAATTATAATTCGTAGTAGAACTATGATGTCAAATAAATGTCAAGCGCGAATTTTCATTTTGAAAACTTGTGCTATTATCAAACCATTAGTATTTAGTGTTAAATCTTAAGTAAGGTAGACGACGCTATAATACATAGATTTCAAACAAAGACAATTGTACAAAGGATTAGTGAGGACTGGTTACAAAACTAAGAATATTAGGGTTTATTACTATGTGATACACATGTGAATGGACAATAATCGATGACCCAAATGTCTTATTAAGAATTTAATTTCAATTGTCAAAACACTTTTCAACAGTTTTGTTCTCTGAGCTGGATGGCTTGGTCATGGAGCCTCAAGGTCAACAAAGACCAATCAACATCGAGGTCTACAGAACAAGCTGTGAACCATATATGGAGAACCTCTCAAAACACTCTTCGTCAAAAAACGGAAGCCTTTTATGGTCTTAAAAGTAAGAGGGATTCACAAAGTAAAAGCTTTAAGTATTATTCGAATAAAGTACACTTGTAAAAGGCATTGATTTAATTAATCGTTGATTGACGTTCGTTACAATCAGATACTGGAGTTTGTAAACTAACTAGCAGTTTTTTTTAATCATTTTCCCTAGACTGTATTCAAAGGAAATGCTATCTGTGTGAGGGATTAATCTGATTATTATTCCGTTATCGTCTATTCTAGGACTTAAACATACTGCCCCCAAATGCTCTGGTACGGCCGAGAGTGGGGAGAGTCCGCTCTCCCTCTCGAAATACTCTCACACGGCCACGCGTATACAGCCTCTGCCAGGGAAGTCCTACTCACTGCCTTCTCATGGCGGGGGTGTTGTTTACAAAAATGAGAGGACGAAAAGCGAATGTTCGGCGCTTTAACCGGATCCCAAACCAATGGTGCACATGGGCTCCAGTATCCTGCGGGAACAAATGGCGTATGAATCAATTCCTTGGTCACCGGCTACCATGGGACTGCATCTCCTTACGATGCTCCATTACCTTGTGGGTTAGACCGTTAGGTCGAAGGCTCGGGGTGTGGCCCCCTAAGAAAACCACCTGCTTCTGTTTGGGCACCCGGACAGTATCTCGGCCCACACACAAAAACATGATAAACTATCTACTTATGAAAAATATTCCTCTCGTTCCAAATAACAATCAAGTGACTCGCAATATTATTATTATTATTATTATTATTATTATTTACTACGTCATTATTCACCCTTTTTTACTCCCACTCTGTTTATACTTCTTTTCGACTTATACAGCAGCTCGTCTATGGTGGAAATTCGACTGTAGCTAAACGTTCTCGAGTCACTGTCCGGTTGAAAATTGTATGTTACCACCAAATATGAGTACCGAAGCAGTGCTTCCGAAACCACGTGCACCATTCAAACTGGTTGCCTTCAACGTTCGCACACTTATGCAGGTTGGACAACAGATAGGGCTGACTATGTCTTTAGAAAGTCTTAATATCGATGTTTGCTGTCTATCCGAGACCCGTATTCAAGACTCTGGCGAAGTACTACAAATTCGCTCTCCATCTGTCGCTTCGAAAAGCTTGTTTTACGTGCGCTTATCCGGGGACCCTGTGGCATCTTCGTCTGGTCTTGCTGGCGTTGGTGTCACACTAAGTGCTAGAGCTGAGGCAGCACTAATAGATTGGATCCCTATTATGTGCTGTTAGACTAGAAAGTTCCATCGAAGTGAGAAGAAATCGGCGTGAGAAACGATGCCTTTTCGTCATCTCCGCCTATGCCCCAACAGACTGCAGCCCGGATGCAATCAAGGATGAGTTTTACCACCAGTTATCAGTTCTTCTCCAGAAAGTGCGTTCGACAGATATTGTAGTACTAGCCGGAGACTTGAATGCTCAGGTCGGGCGTCCAGGCACAGAAGAGAGTCGTTTAGGTGGCCGATGGGGACTCGTTGGTCGCAGGCCAGATAACGGGGACCGTCTACTGCAACTTTGCACAGACCACAACCTGTTTCTGGCTAGCACTAACTTTCGGCACAGTCATCGCCGATGTGCCACCTGGCGTCCCCCTCCTGCATCTCAAGCCTGGACTCAGATTTTTATTTTATTTTAACACATAAATATTAGTACAAGGAGGCACCAAATACATATGCGCCACACAAATCTCATTCGATATGTGTGAGGGCTGTGATACTGCCCGGGTGCCCAAACAGAAGCAGGTGGTTTTCTTAGGGGGCCACACCCCGAGCCTTCGACCTGAAGGTCTGATCCACAAGGCAGTGGAGCATCGTAAGGAGATACAGTCCCATGGTAGCCGGTGACCAAGGAATTGATTCATACGCCATTTGTTCCCGCAGGATACTGGAGCCCATGTGCACCATTGGTCAGGGATCCGGTTAAAGCGCCGAACATTCGCTTTTCGTCCTCTCATTTTTGTAAACAACACCCCCGCCACGAGAAGGCAGTGAGTAGGACTTCCCTGGCAGAGGCTATATACGCACGTCCATGTGAGAGCATTTCGAGAGGGAGAGCGGACTCTCCCCACTCTCGGCCGTACCAGGGCATTTGGGGGCTCAGATTGATCACATCGCGATCAGCTACCGCTGGCGTGGTTGTGTACAAGACTGCCGCTCCTTTTGGAGTACCTATCTGGACTCTGACCATGCCTTGGTCTGCGCCAATCTTACCTTACTTTTCAGTGGACAACGAAGTGACCGCCATCAACGGATTGATGTTAGCAAGCTGGTTGCAACTTCTGTTGCAAGTAAGTATCGAACCGAGCTAGCCTCTAGGCTAGCTACCACTCCACCGAAAAGTATAGATGAGCATTGGTTGCAATTGCATGACGCCATGAAAATGGCGGGAACAGTCAGTTGTGGGTTTGCGAAACGTCCCGCTTTAAGCACTGGGTTTCTTCTGGTTCCTTACAACTCATTGAAGCCCGTCGGTCTACTCCGGGTGACCGTGAGTTTGACCATAAACGAAGGATGTTACGTAAGGAAATTGGGCAAAGCTTGCGTAAGGACCGAGAAGCCTGGTGGTCGATGCGTGCTAATGAGCTGGAAGCAGCAGCTGCATCTGGTAACTACCGGAAGCTCTTCCAGCTCATCCGAGCCACTGGCAGCAAGAAGTCTGGTGTGAGTGAAACAATCTGCGAGGATGATGGGATGCCAATCACTAACATCCATCGACGTCTTGGACGATGGGCAGAATTTTTCGAAGGGCAGTTCAACTGGCCTGCTGCTCCGGCAACATCGGTCAGACTGTCCTGCCCTCCATGGCCGGTGACGACTGATCCACCAAATGAGGAGGAAGTCCGCAAGGAACTCCAACTCTTGAAGCGTTACAAATCACCTGGCCCAGATGACTTACCTCCGGCTCTTTTTAAAGATGGTGGTGACTTTTTGACTAAGGAATTGACGACGTTGTTTACAAAGGTTTGGGAACTAGAGTGTGTACCAACGTCATGGAATGAGTCGATAGTTGTCCCTATCTTTAAAAAGGGTTCACGTCGTTCCTGTAACAACTATCGGGGGATAAGTCTACTTCCGATTGCGTCCAAGCTATTGGCTTCCGTCATACTTCGTAGGTTGTTCAAAACCCGAGAAAGATTGACTCGCGAGGAGCAGGCTGGGTTTCGTTCTGGTCGAGGATGTATTGATCATATCTTCACCCTCCGCCAAATGTTAGAACACCGCCATACTTATCAAAGGCCAACAATCGTAGTGTTTCTTGACATCAGGGCTGCCTTCGATTCGTTGGACAGGACTGTTCTCTGGGATTGTCTATTGAAGAAGGGTGTGCCTGAGAAGTTTATTAACATCCTAAAAGCCCTATATAAAAACACCTCAGGCAGAGTGAGGGCATACAACCACCTCTCTCCATTGTTCCATTCGAGCAGTGGGGTTAGGCAGGGTTGCCCAATCTCACCATTCCTCTTCAACTTTGCCATCGATGACATTCTGGAAACAGCTCTGATGAATGTAAGTAATGGTGGTGTGGATCTGTTGCCTGGAGAAAGACTTCTCGACCTTGAGTATGCGGACGATATTGTCTTACTGTGCGATAATGCCCAAGGCATGCAATCCGCACTTAATCAGTTGGCAATCAGTGTCCGTAGGTATGGTATGTGCTTTGCACCTTCGAAGTGCAAAGTACTTCTACAAGACTGGCAGGATTCTAATCCTGTACTCACCCTGGATGGTGAGCAGATAGACGTAGTCGAGAAGTTCGTGTATCTGGGTAGCTGCATAAGTGCTGGTGGGGGTGTGAGTGATGAGATCAATGCACGTATAGTGAAAGCCAGAGCGGCTTATGCCAATCTGGGCCACCTTTGGCGCCTTCGTGATGTTAGTCTGGCTGTAAAAGGTCGGATCTACAACGCGTCGGTGAGAGCAGTTTTGCTCTATGCTTGTGAAACCTGGCCTCTCCGAGTTGAGGACGTTAGACGACTCTCTGTGTTCGATCATCGCTGTCTCCGAAGGATTGCTGACATTCAGTGGCAACACCATGTCAGTAATGCAGAGGTTCGGCATCGTGTGTTCGGGCACAGAGATGATAATCAATTGGTGTCACCATCTTGAAACACCGACTTCGGTGGCTTGGACATGTTCTACGAATGTCGTCCCAGAGAATTCCACGTCGTGCATTATTTGCCGACTCTGGGACTGGTTGGAAGAAGCGGAGAGGTGGTCAGTGCATGACATGGTGTCGTGGCATGAAAGAAAGCTGCAAAGGACTGGCTTGTGTTGGTCCTTCACGACTCCCTGGTTGGGGTCCGAGAGATGGTGCTACACAGTGGCTAGAGACGTTATCAGATATGGCTCAGAATAGAAGCCAGTGGCGATCCTGCTGTAACCTTCTTTTACTTTCTTCATAAAAAGTGGTTGTGTCTTCCTTAACTGAAAGATTTCTTCTGATTGTACCTTTCCGTTCCCCCATTTTTACCATTATTATTACACCACCTTACATCAATCTCTTCGTTATAATTTTCTTTTTTTCCTTCCCCTTAAATTCTCATTGTTTTGTGTGGTGCATATATATTTGGCGCACTCTTGTACCAATGTATATGTGTTCAAATAAATAAATAAACATACTGCGAAATAGAAGTCCAACAATTAATTATAATTGCAAAGGATGGTAGGTGTGAAAGGCGGAAAATTTTAGATTTTATAAACTCCTCAGAGAAAAACAGCTTATGGAAACACAAAATGTCCATCTTTAATTATAATTACATACAAACACTTACTGATTCTGAAGGGATAGATGCAACTTGTTGAGGAGATAATACCTGCGCACCAGTAGTAGATATAGGATACGTGAATTCCGACGACTGTGAAAAACTATTAGACAATCCATGGTTGGTATTTTCATTTTGCGTATTTTGGCCTTGTGATATGTTAATATTTAAAGGTTTTCCAGACTGTAACATAGCATTTGGTGCAGTTTTAGAAGAATTTGGATCCATTACACAAATGATTCGAACCGGTGAGTCAGATGGAGCATTTATCACTTTAACAACGCCGCCTGTATTCGGTTGTGAAATACCAGGTCTGATAAGTCTGATGTGATTCACAGGTGTATTCAGTGTTTGTGATACAGGAGAGAATGAAACAGTAGAATAATTGGGAGGAAGACATTGAACAAAATGGGTCTGTCCTAAGTTGGAGACAGGTATATTATTGATCGACTGTGAATTTGATGAGTGAATCCCGGAAAATGAAGTCATAGGGCCAGATGGGAAACTAGAAGATTGGATACCAGTGAGATTTGCGCTAAAAGGTGAGTTGAAATTGCTGAAAAATGAGAAAAGATATTGATGGTGTGAAGATATTTTCAGTGATTTAAAGAACGAGGCGGTAACTGGTTAAAGAACTACTAAGGATAAAAGTATACTATGCTAACGACATTTAGCGACCTATCAGTCAATCAGGAAACACTGCCCAGTTACAAAACAATTAACAGCAAAAAGCAGTATTATGATAGCGAAATAATATCTTAGCAATCAATCCTCATATGTCGAATTATTTTTTGCAGTAAAAGGAAAAGGTTAAATTTTGCATATTAGCAGTCTGACTAGTGTTGTGGGTTTTTGTGAGTCTTCGTCACCAAATGACACCAAGGATAGTGCAAAAAGGCTAGGGTTAGGTAAAAAGAGTTAGGCTGGAGCTCTGATATAGGTTTACAAATTAGGGTTAAGATTTTCATTACGAACTTACATCAGCTATGATTCAACTCTTTATTACCCTTCTATTTACAAACTTAGGATTGAAATTTAAAGTATGGGTTGGAGTGGGAGAACACGGCTTAGCTTCACAAGCACTCTTGACTACTTATTGAATCATATCAAGTACTTTAATACAATCTGCTTTGGAAGCAGGAATTTTTCGTAATTTGGCTTAATCATCACCTAAAATTCAAATTTTGGTTACATGATAGATATTTTCTATTGATTTCAAGCATTTTAAGGACCAGATACTGTCAATATTTACTCCATTAACGGTAACATATAAGTTATCTTACACTGAACTTTGAATTTCGCGCAAAACACATGGGGTGTCATCGTAATTTTGATTGGTTAGCTCAAGGCCGTTAGTATGTTATACTTACATCCTAATGAGTTTCACTATTTTCATTTACCCAACGTTAAACAATAGGCAGTAAACAGCGATAACTGATCCAATAATATTAAGGCAGACGATCTTGATAGCTATCGTTTACGATTATTACAACTGAAGGTCATACATTGGAACTGGTTAGGAAAAGTTTAGGCGGATCAGTAGCAAGACTTATCAATATGACAATATTTCGAGGGCGTAATGGATTAGAACAGATACCTTATTCAAGCCATTCATAAATGAAGGAAGCATGTCTCTGAAGCTGAAATGAAAGTTATGTTTAGAACTAAACTGAAAAGTCGACTTCAGAGAATAGTAAAACTATCGAGAAATCAGAAAAGATTGAAGTTTGATGTTGTTTATTGAACCCTACTTTACATATGTTAGGTGATTTTCAAATGAATCTAAACACAAGTTAAAAGCTTCAGGGCAGTTGTCCATAAATTTTTCTATTGCTCGAGTTCCAAGAAATATTCGTCATTCTGTTAGCTTTATCACTGTGATAAAACCATCAGTGCTTTTGCTGTATCTCATCTAATGAGGTAATTTTCTTAAAACCTTATTGATAAATTTTATAGGAAAGATCTGAAGCATTAGTCCTATGCTGTTCAAAATATAAATTATGAAACAACAAAATTATCGTAAACAACACCTAAACCAGTGAGTTATGTATGAACTTACAAAGTCTTAGGGAATCCAAGAGTGTACACTCCAGATTCACCATTTTGTAGCATGTCATCATCGTCATCATCATCTTCTTCTTCAACATACATTGTACTATTTTTGGAACCAACAGAAATAGATGTCGACAGAAGCGGATGATGAATGACTGGTTTAATGTCAGTATTTATTTGGGGAGAAATAATGCGATTTGAAACGTTTGAATTTGAACTTGTAAGGTGAAGTGGGAATTGACGATTATTTGGTTCTGTCTTATGTAGTGAATCTTGCTGGAAATTTTTCGATGAAGCTGTAAAAGATGGTTTAGTTTCAAAGGCACCTGGATCATAACCCATAAATTTAGGATTGGAGTTCAATGACATACTTTGCATCTCCGTTTTATTTTCCAAAAGTTCTTGATGATTATTTGACCATAGAGGTGAGATGGACATATTTTGTCTGCGAGCTTCAAGTAAAGCCTGTCGTTCAGACTGACGAGCTAATTTGGAAGCTTCTCGAGCGGCCTTATTCTCACGAGCTCTTTCCTCTTTCTCTTGTTTGAGTTTCATTTTCGTTTCGCGCTCTTTTTCTATGGAAGTAATTACATGATAATAAATCCACTGAACAGTTTCGGAAATTTGTCGACTGATGAACGAATATAGATACTATAAAAACATACCTTGAAGCTAACTTTTGCTACAACTTGAAGTCAAATAGAAAGCTGCTAGAAATCAAGAAACAGACATTTTATTTTTGTCTGGGACTCCCTAACAGTCAAAACTCACAATCACCGATACTTTTAGAACACAGTTGGAATGTGATAACCATTTTTAACTTCAGTTAATTTTTGTGATACTGTTTTATTCTCAACTTGGTTGACTCCACAGCGTTCCAAACATGTTAAACAGTTGAATTTTGTCAAATTAGCTAAAAACGCACATCAGTTAATCAATAGCATCTTCAGATTCTTAATTTATTACAGCAATGTACACTTAAGGTTTATTATCTTTTCATCAAGATAATCCAACGTAAACACGTTTAAACAATCATACTAAGCAAAAATCTGCACCTTTTTCTAAATGTATGGGTTATTAGCGCCAAACCATGGATTTTGTTCCTTCAAAAAATACAAATTAGTTTTGTGAAAAAGATAAGTGACATATGCAATACGGTCACCCAAGACTTTGGCTTTAAGCCTTACTGAAGACGTCTCAGATAGCTAAGCAGTATGATCCTTTTAAGCTTAACTAGAAGAGGTACGAGTCAAGACCAATCTGACACAAATACCAATCGTTGCAAAACACCATGCTATAAACTGTCTACCTTCTACTTCCTTCATCTGACCGCAGCGGCAAGATAGTTGGAATATTCGACTTGATAAAAGCAGTACAGACGTAATCTTTTGATATCATTCTTCAACCTAAACAACCTACGATAGACGCCGGGTTCTTCATAGTGGAACAGTGTCAGTGTTACTGAAACAATGTCACTATATTTGTAAAAAAATGTATTCCATAGTTGTGTGGAACGACGACTTCTGACAAATAAATTAAATGTCTGAAAAACGAATGATGTATGAGTATCTTGCTATGAAAGCCTTTACATATCGTGAAAAACCGCGTAGAATGAAACAACAATGAAAACCTAAATGAGGTACTTAAAACTTCGGATGTAAAAGCAGAGAGAACAGAGAGAAAAGTCCATTCCTCTTAACTCATAAAGCAGCTGTGTTGAATATCCTCGATAATAATGCGTTGCGATAGATGGAGCCAAATATTTTACCACAAGAGACCACATAGTTTAAATCTGCTTGAGTTCGAAACAATCCCCAAAACAAGGTGGGAAGTAGCATACTAACAAATCAAACGAAGTGACAATATGAAACAAATATTTTTGAAATGAATAAGATGTCGATAAAAATGAAATGTTGAAGATTTCCATGAAGGCAAATGAATGTAATTACGAAATAGTGATGGATTCTAACACGTCATCTAGGCTATTAAATTCCTGGTTATAGTGATTTCTCAGAACTTTACGAAAATCCCCATCTCGCTGTGTTGATCATAAAAAGTTAATTTATGTGTTTGTATTGGGCCATGATCTGATTAACACAGCAAGTTGGACAGAAAGTGGCAAGGCAGGAGTAATAAACAACCTCAGTGGTCTTATTGTATTCGAACTTCAGTGGTCATTTTTCACAACCATGGAGAAGAACAGGAGGAACTCCCGAGTATTTAACTCAGTTGCAACAATAATTGATTAAAATACGTGAATGACGAATAGATTTGTTATTAGTTAGATACACGCAAAGCGGGAAATTTAAATAGATGACTTCAGGAAAGTCGGCATAAATAGTATAAATCAAGTAGTTCATCAATTAGAAGTGATCAAGTTTATAGTGTGCTTTATGTGTGCTATAAGACTACTTTAATTATGATATGATGCTAAGGAATTCGACTTAACAATCAAACCTTGATTAACTGAACCTACAAACCAATTTCCTAAGATTGCCTGAAAATTTATTATGTATATTTTTTGTTAATATTTTGTATAGAAGGATGTTACATCATTACATAAAAAACATATTTCCCAGGCTAGTGGTCTTGTCTTTGATTTCAAATCAGTCGGGAGCTTGGGTCAATAAATTAGTCCGTGAGCAGGTATCACTCAGTCACATATCATTGCTTATTATTCATCGATCAACAATCTTTTATTTGGTCCACCAACCCATAAACTCCCAATCCATAACAAATTACTCATAAATAAAAGCAGCAATAGAAAATTAGCTTTCAACTAACCTTTACGAAGTTGTTTAGCTTTCGGTCCGAATGCAGGTAGTTCATCAAACTCTAGCAATTTTATTCCTGAATGCTTCTTGACGCCTGTCATAGCAGGACTCCGACTACTAATTCTGTCGTTTGTAGAAATAGGTCTATTTTCGCTGTTGTTTCCGGTTTTATTTATATTGGCACGAGTCCATATCAAAGATCTCTTTGAATCTAGATCATCAGAACTTTGACCAGATATACGTGGAAAAGTGCTTTTGCGTCTGGAAAATGAGGTAGAATCTGACTGTGACGAAGTAACCGAATTTCCTGCATTACTTACCACCTCAACAGCAACGGAATCTTCAGTTTCATCTTGACGAGCAAAGCTTCTTCCAGGTATTGGAACATGAACACGTCTTCGCTGACATTCATCCTTTAATTTTTCGAGGTAGGATTCCTTCAAATGTTCTGATTCCAGCTTTCCACGTCGTTGGAAACCACATTTTGGAAGACTGGCTGGAGGTTTATCATTTCCTTTCAAATTAAGAAATTTGTCTAGAACATTACGACCCAAATATTCTGCTAGCAGAGGGGTATCTACGGTATTCCAATTAGTAGCGCTTTTTAGTAGTTTATCTATATTCTTCCCAAAAGCCTCATTAGTAGGAGAAATATCGAAATTGAGGTAGTTAAGGGTTTGTTTACTGTGCAAAATTGTAGCGACAGCTTGACAAGATTGTTTTCTTCATCCAGAGCTTGGAGAAATATGTTTTCGATATGTTTATTAATCTGTGAGCGGAATAAAACAGGAACACCAAATCATATTAAATATTTGAAATATCGGACAAAAATTAGTTATGATACAATCACAGCTATGTTCTGTGGTCATACGAACCTATGTAGGAAAATATAGAATTGACCTAAGAACTAACTAGGAACAAGCAAAGATATATCTATTTGGAGTATCCTGGAGGTAGTTAAGACCTTGCAACAACTTGTGGACACGATAAACACTTGAATAAAGTTGTAAGCTGCTAGGCATATGTATAAGTTATGAATAACGAGCAAAGTTTCTAAAAGGGCTAGTGATGTGACACATTCAAATTCGAGGTTGGCTGGATGTAATTGTGAGCAGACGACGGTAGAAACCAATAGTGTAAGCTATAAATTATTAGTTGCAATATCTGTAACTATTGACGTAATGTATGAAGATAGTCTTATCTTAGTGATATTACAAATCAAAAAAGTAAATGATATTTGAGGGTAACCTAATTTCACTTGCCAAGAAGCCACTGGAGTAATGACTGAATATTCAAGACATCTCTAAACTGTATTACCTCCTATACTTACTTCCAGATATAAGTAAATCTAAATCCTTTATAGGAAGATTTATTCTAGTCCTGACCATCTGATTGCGAGCACTAACTCGACAAAATCTGGAAAATCTATGGAAATTCAAAGAGAGGAACTAAGAAAGGCTCTCCAGTGACCAATTTCTCTAAGTCGATACAAATGTAGTGCAGCTTTAAAAAAGTATCCTCAATAACTGACTTCGATTACACCAAAGACTTTGTTCAACTTACAGGAAGCTACGTAGAAATACAAAAAATTACACGAAAAATGGAGACAACTTTTATTTAGCTAGAGTGGGAATTCAAGTTCAGAACTGAAATACCATGGCCTGGAAAATTGAGAATTTTAAGCACGGGTTCGGCTACTATACACCATTTTCACGTAAGTAAATGTGAAACATTGTGTATCCCACTTAGTAACTACTGACGACGACATATTTACACATATTCCATAGGACAACCAATCCCAGTATTAAAGTAATTTTGTAGTTGATAAAATATTGAATGTAAATAAACTTTAGACTTGGGTAATGTCTGACAGAAATGTAAAAATACAGGTCACTATCGATGGAACAGAAATTTCCAAGCATATTAGTCGAACTCGCGAATTGTACATGACCCTTTAGAACGAGATAGGCATTAAATATTCTCAGGTTGAGAGCACCGGTTGGCAATGAACGAATAAAAACGAACATTTATTGACAAGTTCAGTTTGCAATTCATTACATGACGATTAATAAGAATTGACCACAAGCAAGTAGGAAATAAACGGGCCACATTCACGAAGCAGTCATCAGATATGGTTTAATATGTTTTACATCGTGTTACCTAGTCAGTCATAAAGAAAGTAGGATCTGGGACATATGTTCATCATTCAAAGGCGCTACTCTGCTATATCCGAACGAAGAATAAGTGGATAGCAACTGCTAGGACTTATATTGATGGACTATCAGTACATATATATATATTTCTTTAGTCATAAGCTTTCATTTGACCTATTGGCTACTGTTACAAGATTTACTATTCTTAGCTTATTCCCAATTTAGTTCCATTAGTTACAATCTAATATACTCACAGCTACTTTTGACTCGATCTCGTATAATAATTATTTTTCCATTTTATGGTGTAATGAGGTCTCGTCTGTTTGTATATAAACTACGTACGTCTGAAATATACGATCCATACAGCGGAGGCTGATATTTGTGTTCTGGACTGGACGGGCTGAGCTAGGCGAGAAGTTACCATTTTGAGGACCAATGAGGACTCAGAGTTGACTAAAGACTACTCGTGCCAGTTAACGCATAATTGACTTAGTACAAGGACAAGATCACATAAATTAGAGTCCTGATTGGTGATTTTGTCGGGTAATATTCGATCGGGCCATAAGATATAACATACGCCGTGTAAATACGGTTAGATGAAGTTATCAAAACAAACTCCATAGTAGTAGCAGTAACAGTACCAGTAGCAGCAGACAAGAAACAAACGATGTAATTCGAGAAGAGGGAGTTAGTTAGCTATATAAAAGGTATGAAATCATGTTGAAACCTATTATCTGAGGAAGGCAAAAAGTAAATGCTTCTGTGCCATTGTGTTAGCGGGACACAGACTGGATTAAAGCATGCTCAATGCACGATTGCTTTGGTGCACGCTGATTGGCTAGTTCTTATCCAATCAGCGCTAGTCGATACTTGGAGAATACTCTAGAATCTTCTCATGTAAAACCTATAAATATACTAACGTTTTCCCTATTGTGCTTCTTACTTCCATCTGACCTTGTTATTTGGAATATAATCTCTTTCCTGTTCAACCGTGTTCTGATTTGGGGACTTGTCGAGTGAATCAGTGTCCGAGAATACTAAGCAATAGGAATAGCTGGGTCATAACCGTAAGGAAGAGAAATATAACACATTGCGACTGATCACGAGTCATGTTACCCATCACCTTTTACCAGCGGTCATGATAATCGCATAGACACCAGTAGGTTGGTAGATCTATGGTTTAGCAGTTCAGGCAATCGACTTTTGGCCACTAAGTTCAGGTTGTGAACCCCTCATCACCTAGTTTAATCTGAGCAACCAGTGTCGTTAGCCCTCATAATCGAAATGTGGTTCATACCCAAGTGCCTCCTGAGGGAGTTTATTAAATTAAAAAAATTAAGCTGAAATCATGAACCGCTCAGGATAAGACTAGTATTGAAAACATAGAAGCACTGGACGGCCGCTTCGTCCTAGTGTGGGACTCCTCAGCCTTGATCGGGTCATAATTTCAATAAAATTCAACAATCTCCACAACGCCATACCAAAAAATTAAGCATAGCTCCAACCAGCAATCAATAATATTATGGACTGATGATATGTCTCAGTTTGGTCGCCCCTGTCTTTCTTGCAACCTACTTCTACATCATTAAATACTACTAGCCGAGGTAGGTGATAAAGTTGTGGGAAATCAATTTGGAAATCATGCGGTGGAAATAACGGTGGTACTATGATTTATGGATGACCTTTGAGTGACACTAAAATGACCTTGATAGGGTTTATCTAATAACTAGAACCAAATGAGGGTTATATACCAGGGCGAAGAATTAGAATTATGATTTACAGTTGATGGTTAGGGTTAGGAATTACATTTAGGATTTTCTTCACCAACTTACATCAGCTATAATGCCAAAACTCTATTTAGCCAAATGGATGGGTGAATTTCGCGCCAAAACCTGACACCTGTTACCTTATACCTGATTGGTCCGTCTATAAATTATAGTCTCGCCGAAGTAACTTTGGATAAACCAGGTCTATTTATGGCACCAAAAGGAGTAAAATCAGAATGCGGAGTAGATAGCAATTAGTTTTTAGAACCTATTCAAACTTTATTTACATACGGGTACAGTGTAATTATGGTTACTTGCATGTAACGAAAATACAAACGTAAACATAACTATTAGACTGACGTTTTCGGACCTTAAATGAAACGAGTGTAGAATAATCCACACGCAGATAGCGGTTTTATGGTCGCAACGCGCAGAATGTTAAGAATTTATGGGGACGAATCTTTGTACCGGGCATATTATGTATGATTTTAACAGTTTCAGTTTCAGTTTGGGAAGGACAGAAGGCTCGATGGCCTATGTTAGTCCTGGCAATGGTGGTCTCTCAGTTGATCCAACTTTCTTTTGAAAGAGTCGACGTCAGTCAGTCAGTCAGTAACAACGTAGAACTTCGTACGTACGTACATCAGTTCGAGTTGCCACACCACATTAGCACAGAGATGCACTTGTCGATTCAAATCCCGTAGTGGTAGAGGTAATAAGAGTATAAGCAGTAATCGGGAAGATTAGGGTTTGGAGATGTTATTTAAAGAGTATAATCCAGTGAAATAAATTTGGAAAGAGGAAAAAAGGGACATGAAGAATTCAGAAGATTAGAATTTGGGAGAACACAGAGAGTGGATGCACCTGCGCCATTGCAAACGATTTTGAGCCATGTCATTCAGGGTCTCTAACCATCGGTTGCTATCATCTCGCGGTCCCCAACCAGGTAGTCTACACCTACCAACATGACTCAGTCCACTTGTCAGTGACTTCATGGACTTGTGCCATGTTTTGGTTTGGCCGCCCCTAGCTTTCTTCCAACCTACTCCTATACCACTGAACATAGCACGTCGAGGCAGTCGGTCGTTGGGCATACGTAACACGTGTCCCAGCCATCTCAACTGATGAAGTTTCACTACTTCATCAATTGATTTGCCATCCTTACCTAGTACCCGTTTCCTAACAACTGTGTTACTTACTCGATGGTCCCATGATATACGAGCAATGTTTCGAAGACACCTATGATCAAATACTAGTAACCTACGAATATCCTCTACTCTTACCGGCCATGTTTCACTGCCATAAAGTAGGACGGAACGAACTGCTGCGCAGTAAACACGTCCTTTGGTTGATAGACGGATATCTCGCCTACGCCATAAATGACGCAAGTTGGCAAAAGCTAGTCGAGCCTTCTGTATCCGTGCTGAGATTTCGTCACACACTAAACCACAAGGGCTGATGAGACTTCCAAGATAAGTGAAGCGGTCGACACACTCAACTACTTCACTCCCTATCACTAGTTCGGGTGTCGATGTAACCCAATCCTGAAGCAACATTTTGCATTTCGAGGGAGAGAATCGCATCCCGAACATGCTTGCATTGTTGCTTAGAGTGGTCAGAAGACTCTGCATTTTGTCAGCGTCTTCACCAAATAAAACTATGTCATCAGCATATTCTAAGTCAACAAGTGAACCTCCCGGTAGAAGTTCAACCCCTGGAAATTTAGATGAGGAGAGTGTTATCTCTAAAAGTACGTCGACCACAAAGTTGAACAAGAATGGGGAGAGTGGACAGCCCTGACGAACACCACTTGAGGTAATCAATTCTGATGACAGTTCGCCATAAGCTCT